TTCTTACTATGTTTCCTTGGGTTCTTACTATGTTTCCTTTGGTTCTTTCTATGTTTCCTTTGGTTCTTACTATGTTTCCTTTGTTCCTTGGGTTCTTACTATGTGTCTTTTGGTTCTTACTATGTTTCCTTTGGTGGCTTCTCCCAGCAGCCCTCCGAATGTGATGACGGGTGACATGCAGGCGCAGTACAGGAAGAGGACAGATGCCACACACTGCAGGCTCAGGGCATCTTTGATGTCGCTCCAATAGAACGGAGCTTTTCTCTGAACGTCGTTCACCAAACCTCCAAAGATCCTGTCAGAGAAATCCACCGTCACTTCTCACTCAAACACGCAGTAGAAAAAAACAACCACCTGAGCTGAACGCACCTGCCCGTCCTCTGCAGCTCCGGCCCCGTGTGATGCTCCGCCTCCTTTACCATGTCAGCACTGTAGGCGGAGCCGTTAGGAAGCGCTGGTATTTTTCTCTTTTCCTGCAGAGAGACAGGAGTTAGCCTCACAGCTGACTGGTTTTCTTCTTGTGCCATCAGAGCACTGCTCTCACCTGAGACGGGACATTCTTTGGAGGTTCAATGCGGATGCTGGGGTCCCATTCACCTGGAGGCAGAACTGTGACCTGGTCCAAGAACTCATCGATTCCTGACAGCAGGTCAGTCCGGTCCCTTGCTTTGTACGCCACGTCGTGGAAGATCTACGGCAGAACAAAGACCATAAAAACATTTCTCTGAAGGAGGGATTCTGGAAAAACTAAAGGTTCCCACATACTCGGGCGTACTTCACTCCGCGGAGGTCTGCGCATACTCAAGGCGGACTCAAAGCAGACGTCTGCTGGACATGTCCACGCAAAGATACATTTTTATGACTGCGTACGTGTACTCGGTGTTGCACAAAAAATTGCCCGGTGACATTGTTCACATCGAACTGTTTTGTATGCGACACCAACCGCTCTGTGTTTTGAGCAACCAGTTGCAAGGATGCGCAACGCGACTGCCGCTCTCTGCGCAGCGCCGACAGGTGAGCGGTGAAGAAACGGGGCTAAGCGCCCAAATAGTCCATCAAACTTGACAGAATCCAGTTGAAAATATTCAAAATGTTTCTCGCTGTCCATCGTCTTCATGTCCTTCACCAGTGTATTAAATTCCCCTTCTTCATCCCTGGCCTGGTTTATGTACCACCTTCTTTTCTTTAGTTTTTTCTCAAGAGGCAAGCGATCTCTTCCTCCTCGTCCGTTGATGCCATGACTGAAATTGTGAGAAATGAAGGAATTTGTCATGAGAGAATTAAAATTTTTACGCTCGAGTATGAAGTCTCAACCGTGTACGGACAGGACGCACAGTTCGTCCGAGTATGTGGGGGCCTTAAGAGCTGCATGAAACAGGACTGGCTGATTCAAACAGATCCTGCAGACAGGTGAGTTATCGGGTGCTAAGCACCAATCAGGTCAATGGTCTGAACGCTAACTCAGCATTCACACCGTGTTCCTGCTGACATTTTACCGTACGGTTTCTAAAAAGTAACTACTTGTGCAGACTTTGTGTTATTTGTTCCGTTCATCAAAGCGTTCAGCTCATTCAGGAGATGGATGCTGACTTTTACTTTTTGGAACTTATTTTCCCAGTTTAACTTTTAGCTTGATGCTGCTTTTAGAGTTCAGAGTTTGTTCTCACCTCGTCCGTCATCAAAGTGGCGATGGACCGGCCGATCTCGTGGTACTGGGGGCCTTTTCCAAACGGTCCAAGCAGCAGGAAGAGGAACCTGGACGGAGAAGAAAAGGAGCCAAGTATAACAGATCAGACACGTCACAAGTTCTATCAGAATTAAATCTCTGTCACTTCTGAGCTCGGGTCCGGTTCAGAAGGTGTGTGAGTGTACCTGGTGGGTACGGGGACCTCGGTAAGTCCGGTCAGCAGCACGGCAGGGGACAGGCGAATGAAGGCAATGATTGGATGTTCCAGGAAGTCCACTTCACCAACCAGGACGTTGGAGGCTTCGGCACCGGGTGGGATCTTCTTCATGAAGTTCATATCCACCTAAAACACGGGCCACTGGTCAGGGACTACTTTCAGAGGAGGATTGTCACACGTGTTCAATGGCAGTTCTGAGGTTGTTAATGTGTTTACTTCCTGTTTGTGTCTAAACAAACTTTGACAACACTGAACTCAAATCACAACAACAAACAGGAATCAAAACATTTTCACTGAAACGACACGGCTGACCATGACGACAGCCAATCACAGAGCACCATCACAACACAGGCCTCTGATTGGACGACAGCTGCTGACCGACAGGTGAGCGGACTTACTGCGGGCTTCCTGCCAGCCGCCGGCAGCAAACACACGCAGTCACAGTCCTGCTGAGAGAAAACCAGTCATCCTCTGACAAACAGCTGCTGATTGGCTCCTACACGTCACATGACTGGCAAGCCCCGCCTCAATTAAAAAAAGTCTAGTTTTTAGAGCAAAATAAAATATTGCTATATAAAGATTGTAGTGTTTTTTTTGTAAAGTTGACAGTTTTAGTGGTAAAGACTTCCAGTGTTTTTTGTTTTTTTTAATCTGGCACTTATTAAAAACAACATTAAAATTAGTCCATCAATTATTGATCCAGATTATTCTTACTATTATAAAATACACACTGAAATGTATTATGAAAGTTATTTAAAGGTTGTTTTTGTTTTTTTCAATAAAATCTTGGCTCTAAGTAAACAAGCTGTATGCTGATGTCCCCGTCTCCGACGGGTTTGAACAGTGAATGTTTGTAGTTTTGGACATGAGTGTTTTTCTGGACTGGAACTGAGCAGAGACTGAAGTAAACCTAAATGTTTTTGATGAAGATATTCAAGTGGAGAGGTTTTTAGTGGGTGGGCTTTAATGTTTTCTCTCGTGTGAGGCGGCGCAGAGTGACGGATCCTGGAGGGTAAAGGAGACATTTTATCACCACCAGGTGCTGTGGAGGAGTCGGGGGGGGGGGGGGTGGCCTTGGCCCCCATACGGTAATCTTCAGTCTCCCCATTCATTTGTGGAAACGATACTTAAGCAAAAATAAAAAGGAGAAGGGCAAACGGAGGGACAATAGGTCTATATTGTGTGTATATATACATTTAATATTTGATATGAATATTTGTGGCCGAGTTAGTTTTGTCGTTTTTAAAGTGTAAAAACGTGAATTTCCAGCTGTATGACAGCAGGTTTGGTGGCGCCGACAGCCGTTGTGTTCAGGACTTCACGGAGTGTTGAAGGTCCCTCTCTGATGCAGACGTGCAACGCCGCTCACCCCTCCTTCAGCTTCGGTAACAAAAGCCAACGTCTTCTCGGGTGCTGGTGAATAAACGAGGCACCTCGCCTTTGCTCACAGATATGACTAACCGTAGCTGCAGACCCTGAGGTTGCAGGTCCTAAAACATGGCAGCTTTCTCTTTAGCAGAGCGTCACTCAATGCAGATCGCCGTTACTAAACCGTCTACTTCCTCAGCTTGACCATCCGTTTCTGAAACGGCCGTTTGTGACGACGGGAGCCATCCTCACCCTGCTGAAGTCCATGGTGCTGTTCTCACGGCTACCTCCGTTCATGCGAGTCTCTGTGATCTTGTTGTCGAGGTTTCCAGGAGCCGACGGAGACACCATCAGACCTGCGGGGACAGTCTGACGGTTACACAGATCCATACCGTGTTCATACACTCAAAGATCAAATCCATGTCAAGACCTATTTTAATTAACAGATAAATGATCAACACAGACTGCTTTACACTTGAAATAAACGTTACAGGTTTGATTTTACCAGCTGTCCAACCAGGGAGACATCAGCTGGACGTTTACAGAGACCCAAACATTTCAGACGTTTAAACTAAAATAAACAAGTTTTCTTTATTTTGTAAGAATCTGGTTCATTCTGTTACACTTAAAGTAATTACTCCTTCTTTCTGTTCTAAAGTTTATACATCAGAACATAAGGGAGCGGACATTCTAACCGATTCACCCCAAAGGTCAGACCATGCAGAGCTCAGACTCCACAGGCCCTGGCCTGTAGCAGGACCTTAAGGGAAGTAAATATTGTCCCCGTGGGGAAGAGACTGCTGATCCAAACCTGACTGAACATGTGACGGCTCAGAGTCCGGTTACAGCCCGGCGCTGAGGGATCATGTCCCGGTCCAGCAGGTGCCGGCTAACGTCACGTCTTTAAACAGATCTGACCTTCAGGACCCTGTCACCTCCACATGCTTTCAGAACACTCCTCATCTGGGTCCAAAACGGTGGAAAAACGTCAAAAAACGAGTTTAATGCAGAGCTGCAAGACATTCAGCACACTGCTGAGCCGCAACCAAAGATATTAAACACAGAGTTCAACCAAAGATATTAAACACAGAGTTCAACCAAAGATATTCAACTAACAGAGTTCACTCGTTTACAGTACAGACTCTGGGGGACCGGGGCTGGGTGGTCTCAGGTGGACCGGGCCTGGATGCAGCTGACTCTTGTCACGCTCACTGACTCCATCCTGCTGGTTTTAAAGTCTTCAGTAAGTGATTAAGACCCGTGATTGGACCCGTCAGCACAAAATAACCTCTTCGGATCATTAACAGGTTCAGGTCGTCTTCCTTTTAGAAACATTTCAGCATAGAATAGAATTAATAGAATAGAATAGAATTAATAGAATAGAATTAATAGAATAGAATAGAATTAATAGAATAGAATAGAACTGCTCCGCTCCAGGTGGCTGCATGTTGGAGCAGCTCTACTTTCATTCTGAGATTTTGCTTTTGGAAACTTTAATTCCTCTTTCTCTGGATGTAAATCACATTTTCTGGATGATTGTTTCCTCTGGTATCAGATGCTGTGCAGCTGGAAGGATTTTTACTGAAACTTTTTTAGTTTTGGACGTTTGTTATGATGCGTAACCATGGCAACAAGGCAGTTTTCTACAACAACAGCAGCTGATTAACATCTCAAAAGCTCAAATAATATCTCAACTACAGCCCCATATCTCAGATGACTTGAAAATGATGTTCTGTGGACGCATTCTCATCTACCTGCCAGCTGTGCTCGAGTGCCTGACCACTGAGATCCTGGAACTAGCAGGAAACACGACTCATGACAGCAGAAGGACAGGATCGTCCCTCGGCACCTACAGTTGTCTGTCCGCAGTGACGAGGAGCTCTGCAGACTGCTGGGAGGAGTGGCCATCGCTCAGGGAGGAGTTCTGCTCTGCATTCGGGTGGTCCTACAGCCCGAGGGGAACCGAAAGGCCAGCCGAGTCTGGGTGGACGGATCAGACGGCATCTGCAGCCAGTTTCTTAGGATCCACTGTGGGATGGACCTTTACAAGAGATCCTTCCTGTCTACAGCATCAGCATCTACAACATCTCTTAATGAAATGAGGATAACGAGTTACAACAACAAATAATTTCCCTCTGGGATTAATAAAGTATTTTTGAATTTGAATTTGAATAAAAACTATCATTCAGACATTTTAAAGAAAAACAATGAATTTGTGTCCAATAAATAAAGTTCAACAATCAATTTAATTTAGTTATTAGTCATAAAATGATCATCTGTAAAACGTTGGGCTAAGAAAGATACAACAGATCGAATCTTAACCTCGAATCAACGTCCAGCTCAAAAATCTTGTTTGTTAAATAAAAACAGTTTCTTTAAAGAAATTAAACTGTTTGAACTGGTTTCAAACCAAATGTCTCCACCTTTAAAATCACGTGGTTTACAGTGGAGCTGGATCCAAACAGTCCAGAACCTTTAGAAGATGGAACCACCGTCATCAACCCAGAACAGAGAGGTCTACAGAACCACGGTGTGGTCCATGCCAACATTCACGGTACACGTTACCAAGTTTATGTGGTTTTTGATCCACATCAGCTGAAACCAGTTTACCATGAAACAAAAAGGACTAGTTCTAGACGAGAAATGGGCCAAGTCAAAACTAAAAACAGAACTCAGAGAACTGCGATCTGCTGGTTTCCTTCAGATGGACCAGGTCTGACGGACTGAGCTGAGGATCAGATTGGACCTACAGTCTGTGGACCAGACCTGAAATCATTTAAAGTCCCACCGCAGAAAAACTAAAGAACCTGAGAAATTGAGTTGTAGACCCGCGTCCACAGTCCAATCAGAACCCACTTAGCCATTGGGACCAGTGTTTCAGCAGCTCTGCTCACAGAGCAGTGTGAGTTCTCCACCACGCTTCATCTGAGCAGGATGTTAGTATGAACGCCATCCCATGCCATGCCAGGTATTTGCCTGTGTGACCCGCAGGAAGCTGCAAGTCCTGATGGAGGAGCTCTGTCTGCACCTCCTCCTTCTGGAACATGTCCTCCTCTGGAGGGTGAATCACCACTTCAGGAACCCCCTTTCCTCCCAACATATTCTCTGGAGCGGAGCAGCGCCGCAGGGTCCCATCTGAGGAGGCGTGGTCTAATGGTGGGATGAGTCCAGGTGGGCAGGGCTCTGACAGGTGGCGTCCATAACGGTAAAGGGAGGGCGAGGCGGAGCCTGAGAGGAGGCGTCCAAACAGGAAAGAGGGAGACGAGGGAGGGATGAAGGCATCAAATGAGGCCTGGGAGGAGCGACGGAGAAGTGAGAGGCGAGAGGAGGAGAGCCCCTCCCCTGAGAAGAGGAAGAAGAGAGGCTGAAGATGCTGACTGGAAAAGGACAAAGAAAACATCAACAACCACAGACTAATCAAAAAGATTCAAACGTATTGAGCATCAGGAAAAACAAACTTCATGCTGTTCATGTGTCCAGGGTCAGCTTCAGAGGGCGGAGTCAGTACAGAGTCAGTTTCAGAGGGCGGAGTCAGTACAGAGTCCGTTTCAGAGGGTGGAGTTACTACAGAGTCAGTTTAAAAGGGCGGAGTCAGTACAGAGTCCGTTTCAGAGGGCGGAGTCAGTACAGAGTCCGTTTCAGAGGGTGGAGTCAGTACAGAGTCAGTTTAAGAGGGCAGAGTCAGTACAGAGTCAGCTTAAGAGGGTGGAGTCAGTACAGGATCAGTTTCAAAGGGTGGAGTCAGTACAGAGTCAGTTCCAGAGGGTGGGGTCAGTCCAGGATCAGTTTCAGAGGGTGGATTCAGTACAGAGTCATTTTCAGAGGGTGGAGTCAATCCAGGATCAGTTTCAGATGGTGGATTCAGTACAGAGTCGGTTTCAGAGGGTGGAGTCAGTACAGAGTCAGTTTCAGAAGAGGGAGACAGTCCAGGTTCAGTTTCATTGGGAGGAGTCAGAACAGAGTTAATTTCAGAAGGCCAGGACAGTAAGGAATCAGGTTCAGAGGTTGGGTCAGTACAGAGTCTGTTTCAGAGGGTGGAGTCCGTACATAGTCAGTTTCAGAGGGGAGGGTCAGTACAGAGTCCTTTTCAGAGGGCAGGGTCAGCCCAGAATCAGTTTCAGAGGGTGGGATCAGTACAGAGTCAGTTTCAGAGGGAAAGATCAGCCCAGGATCAGTTTCAGAGGGTTGAGTCAGTACAGAGTCAATTTCAGAGGGTGGAGTCAGTACAGAGTCCGTTTCAGAGGGTGGAGTCAGTACAGAGTCCGTTTCAGAGGGTGGAGTCAGTACAGAGTCAGTTCCAGAAGGCGGAGCCAGTACATAGTCGGTTTCAGAGGGCAGAGCCAGTACAGGATCAGTTTCAAAAGGTGGAGTCAGTACAGAGTCAGTTCCAGAGGGCGGAGTCAGTCCAGGATAAGTTTCAGAGGGTAGATTCAGTACAGAGTCAGTTTCAGAGGGTGGAGTCAGTACAGAGTCAGTTTCAGAGTGTGGAGTCAGTACAGAGTCAGTTTAAGAGGCAGAGTCAGTACAGGATCAGTTTCAAAGGGTGGAGTCAGTATAGAGTCATTTTCAGAGGGCGGAGTCAATCCAGGATCAGTTTCAGAGGGCAAGGTCAGTACAGAGTCAGTTTAGGAGGGTGGAGTCAGTACAGAGTCAGTTTCAGAAGACAGAGTCAGTCCAGGTTCAGTTTCAGAGGGAGGAGTCAGTACAGAGTTAATGTCGAAAGGCCGGGTCAGTACAGAGTCAGTTTCAGAGGTTGGGGTCAGCCCAGGATCAGTTTCAGAGGGTGGAGTCTGTACAGGATCAGTTTCAGAGGGCGGAGTCAGTACAGAGTCAGTTTCAGAGGGTGGAGTCAGTACAAAGTCAGTTTCAGAAGGTGGAGTCAGTCCAGGTTCAGTTTCAAAGTGCGGAGTCAGTACAGAGTCAGTTTCAGAAGGCAGAGTTAGTCCAGCATCAGTTTCAGAGGGTGGAGTCAGTACAGAGTCAGTTTCAGAGGGCG